TGGTAAATTAATTTGCTTGCTTTATTTTTGTAAAAGTTATTACAATTTCTAAGAAACAGTTGAAATAGCTTTCAAAGGTGACCACGCTTGTTATCTTGCACCTCCCACAAGCCACCCACTTCCAGTCTTTGCATTTGGTATGCTCATTGAATTGGTGTTCGATAATCTTAACGGGGCGTTCTGTTCTGACTATAACTCCCCAAGTGGAACATCTTTTCATAGTCTCCCTTGCTACCTCTTTTTCTTTGACTTTTGGGGCAGTTTTGTCTCACACACAGAATCTCATACACCCCCGGGCTAGAGTCAAATCTGTTACACAGTAGAGGATGACCTTAAGCTCTTGATCCTCTTACCTCTTCTTCCAAGTGCTGGGATTTCAGGAGTATGCGGCTGTGCCCAGCACTTTTGACAACCATTAAATCAGTTTGATTTCTTAAATAGCTTTTGTACATATTTTTGGTCAGGGTGCTTTTTCAGACTTTTTTTTGACAAATATTTCCTCCTAGTCTGCTTGGTTTTCGCATCTCTTAGCAGTCCCTTTAATACTGCAGATGTTTTTAAGTTTAATGAAGTCTAGTGTTCAGAGATTATTTCCCTAGATAAAACTTTGGTATCATACAAAAAACATACAATCCCAAGGACATTCAGATTTTCTCATATAATCTGAGTTTTCATAGGTTTTACTTTACATTTATGTATTAAACCCACTGAGTTAATTTTCATCAAGGATGTGAGTTTGCATGTAGATTATTCTGTATGCTAATCTCAAATTCTTTACTGCATTTCCTTCTCTGCTTTGTGAAGATCAGGAAAGGCTCAAGGTCAGTGTCCATTCACAGTACAACAAAACAATGCCAACAGAAAATGTGTTTCATGCCTTTAGGACTAACATTTACACTTTTAATCCTAGTAATCATTTTGTTTTGCTTTGATTGTTTGTTTTCTTGAGATTATGGTCTCATTTGATTAAGATGGCCTCAAATTTACCGTGTATAGCTGAAGATCACCTGGAACTCCAAATTCTCTCTCTAGCTTCCACCTCCCAAGTGCTGGAATTAGAAGGCACAAGGCCCAGTCAGGATAATTTTTTAGAAAAAAAATCTGATAAAGGGGAGGGCCTAAACAACTTTATTATTTGGCATATATATCCAGAAGACCTTCCACTACAAACAAATATTCTTCCCCCATTAAATGTACTTGATTGATAGAAATTTAAGAATTTTTGACACATTCAATCACACGTATACCTAAACCTTATGCTAATACTATTGTCTTGGTAATTATAGTTTTATTAAGAACAAAGCTAAACACTTTACTATATTTTCTTTCTTTTATTCTTTGTGTGGCTGTGCTAAGAACACAATACAGACTTGCTAGAATTCAAGGTAAGCATTCTCCCAGTGAGTAGCATCCACAGGCTAATTTTGTTCTCTGTAAAGATTGTTTTGACTATCCCAAATTATTTAAAATTTCACATGAATTTCAGATCACTTTGTTAACTGTTGCATGAACACACAACACACACAAAAAGCCATCTGGATCCTGATGGAGATTGTGTTGATCTGATGATGTACACTTCTCCTGTTCATCTCGCTTGTCTACTCAATGTCTCACATGTAAATGACTGGTTGTACTTTCATAAACTCTGACAACCTGCTTACATCAGCTACTTAAATATTTGTACTAAACAAACCACCCCAGCAACTCATGTCCTTTCTTTTTTTCTTTTCTTCTCTTCTCTCTCTCTCTCTCCCCCTTTCCTTTCCTTTCCTTTCCCTTTCCCTTTTTCCCTTTTTCCCTTTTTCCCTTTTTCCCTTTCCTTTCCTTTCCTTTCCTTTCCTTCCTTTTCTTTCAGGTTTGTAGTTTACAAGTTTTTTTTTTTTTTTAAATGGGGCTGGAAAGATGGCTCAGAGGTTAAGAGCACTGACTGAATTCAATTCCCAGCAACCACATGGTGGCTCACAACCATCTATAAAGAGATCTGGTGCCCTGTTGCACCTGTTTTTCATGTTGCTTCCGATTTCCAATCTTCCATGTTCAGTCTTCATGTTTTCTACTGAATCTAATTTGCTGCTAATCCCATCAACTGACTTTTATGCTTACTATTTGTATTTTTTTTTAATTTCAAAGAGATCTGCCTGCCTCTGCTTCCCAAATGCTAGGATTGTGTGCCACCACACTCTGCTCTTAAGTATAGAAAAACACAGGCAATGCACATTTGCTTAGTAATTCCACCAGTTACTTTAAGGGATGGCCCTCCTGTGCTCATTCTCACATGTGGCAATTATTAACTTTGTGCTACTCTTTCCTTGTAAAATAACTTTAATACCTTGTGTTCCAGAAATAAAGTTGATTCAAAGTGATCTAAAATTGCTTATAGTAGGCACCTGTGAAATTGACAGGTTCACATTAACTTTTTAAACATTTAATAATTTTTATATGTTATTTATGTGTCTCTGTGTGTGTACATGTCTATGCACATCCATGAGGAAGCTCTCCACCTATTTCTTCTAACTTTTATTTACTTTTATTCTATGTATATGAGTTTTTTGACTGAATATATAAATGCTCACCATGTGTGCCTGGAACCCAAAGCCTCCAGAAGACGGTTTTGGGAACTGAACCGAGGGTCTTTGGAAGATCAGCTAGTACATCTAACTGCTGAACCATCTTTTACCCCCAGTCACTTCAGTCATTCAGACAATATACTTAGGCTACAGGAATGTGACTCTAGTCTAATTTTTTTTCCTTCCCTATTTTGCTTAAAACAACCATGAAAATGTTCTATTCCCTAAGGGAAAAGAAGAAAAGGCAAATTAAGTTCTTTCACTGAGAATGTATTTTTTTTTAAACTTAGGGAAGAGAATAAATAAAGTCCCCCACAGCCACAGCTTACACAGTGGAGCTTACCAAATTTTGAAAAAATTTCAGGGGTCAGCACATCACAAATACAATGGATAAGCCTTGCTCTAGTAACCCTACGTTCTTGACCATGGTCTCTCCCCTGCCAGAGAAGTGTAGAATATTTCTTTAAAGGAAACCACTGGGAGGTGAAAGGACTCTCATTAGAATCCCCAACTCTGGTTTCCTGTTTTGAGCAGCTTCAGCAAAGTTGACTTCCTCAACCCCTGCCCATCACCACCAATAAAACTCAACCATGATCTTCAGGAAAAAAAGCTCCTGCGTTTCACTCCCGTGCCTTATAGACCTTTGAGGATTTTAAGATGTCTCGTCTCACCATCTATCACGTGGCTACTTCACTGGTCTTTACTAATAAAGATAGGTGCACCTGCCCCTAACACACCCATTCAACACAGGTTCTGGAACCACCAATATTTCTTCATTAAAACATCCTGGCAAACTCTGCACACCTACAGAATCAACTGTCCAGTTTCTGACACACCTGATTCTTCTCTCTGATCTATCAAGGCTCAGATGTAATTCATATTTCCTGTGCTACCAGTTTAACTAAGATTATCATTCTCCATCTCCTAGATGGAAAACCTGTTAATAGCCTCCTGCTATTTTTGTCCCCATATAACCAATTTTCTGTGCTATGGACAACAGTGATCTTTTAAAAAATAAAAATAGGATATGTCAAAGTGTATCTGTAAACCTGCACTTGAGCTTTTGATAATTCCATGCTATTTAACGTTGTCTACAAATTCTAATCTAATCTGACTCTGCCTTCATAACCTTAATTACCATTTTATACAGCTATGGGCAAACTGGTTTCTCAATTTTCACAACTGCCCTTTTTCAAATCACTGGCACTTCAGTGACTCCTCTTCCTGAAATAATTTTTCCTGCTTTTTGTTCATTTCATTCTTACATATCTGATTTCACTTTAACTTGACTCTTTGCAGAGGCCCATTCTATCTAATCCAACACCAACCTGTTTATTCTTTTAGAACCAAGGACAGTGATTTCGTCATGGAAATAGCCTCAATCACGCTACTCATTTACCACTGAGCTATCCTTGAACTTATACTGCTTCTACTGGTTTCTTTGTATTATATAGGCCTGAGTCCCAGTCCAGCAATTAGTAGAATATATTTATGCTTCTGTTACAAAAATGATTTCACATAGACATCACTTCTAAAAACAAGCATCAGAAACAAAATTAAGAGGGTGGGAAAGATGGCTCAAGTAAGGGTACTCACTGTCCGGTCTGAGGACGTGAGTTCCATTTCCAGGACATACACGGAAGGAGAAAATCAACTCCTTCAAGTTGTCCTCAGACCTCCACACTTGCAATGAGACATGAGTGAATTTGCCCACCTTTGCATGCATGTGTATACACACACAAATGAGTTTTTATGAATAAAACCCTACTATCTAAACCTCATAAAAACATACATACAAGCTGGGCATTGGTGGCGTATGCACCTAATTCTATCATTCCGAGGCAGAGGCAGACAGATCTCTGTGAGTTCGAGGCCAGCCAGGTCTATAGAGCTAGTTCCAGGACAGCCAGAGCTGTTGCAGAAAAACCCTGACTCAAAAAAAAAAAAAAAAAAAAAAAGAGAAAACGAAAAGAAAAGAAAAGAAAAGAAAGAAAGAAAGAAAGAAAGAAAGAAAGAAAGAAAGAAAACACACACTCTCAAAAACAATAAACAAAAACAAAAAGTAGCAAGACTGAGGCAGTTTCTCTGAAACAGCAGTGGCCATAAGCAGTAATGATGATTCCAAGGAGATCATGTCTCTTATTCACAAGCGCAGGATAGGCAGTCCCCTCTGTTCAAACACTAGCTGGCAGCTTTTCTTTCTACAGCTGCCTGATTTCTCGCCTATTTGAGGTTACCTTCCCTCATTGTTTCAACACTCACTCACATGTTTACCTTTTGAAGCCTCTCTGAAAATTTTAACAGCAGAAAAAGACCTGCTTACACTCCTACAAGTTAAAGAGATCAGGAGCCCAGACAGCTATTCTGGCTCGCTCTTCTACCTTAGCTTAATATTTAGGCAAGAGAACGGAATGAACATATCAAGTAGGCCTGTCTATAGCAACTTTTTATTCCTTCATGAGAAATTACATTTTTCAACAAGTTTTAGTCAGAAAATTCTATTTTTGATGCTGACAGTATTCATATATCATCACTTAAAATTACTTCTCTGGTTGTGACTATCTGTTTCCAAGAATTTTCAAATTGTATATAATTTTATATAACAAATCTTACGAAATAAACACATTTAAGAAAACATACAATACCATGCAATCAAAGCAAACCATCAGCAGAAAGATGCTCACCAGAAACCGTTTCCTTTATGGCTGTGCGTGTATTTTCACTTTCCGTCCACAGGTCCTGTTCATAGCATACAAGCCATGGTTAATCACTTCAGCAAGTTCTGATGTAATGTTTGCGTGTGATGTATGGGTGCCTGTTCCATTGCCTCCATGGTGCTTCCTCATATAAGGTGGTGTCTGAGCCACAATCAAAATCTTGTTTAAATCTTGGTCACCAATTTCATAATCTGAGTCATCATCAGACCAATTATTGACTGTCACTTTCCTTCTTTCCGTATGTTCCATCTCTTCATCAAACAAAATGTCACGTTCTTCTTGTTCTAGTTCTTCTGGAAAGGTTAGTTGATTTGATGTCTCTTCAAGTATAGATGTTGATTCCTAAAAAAAACAAGGTATCTTGATATAGATATGTATATATATATATACACACACACACATATATATATGATATACATGTATATATGCACACATAATACATATATGTACGTACATATTTACTATGTAAAACCCTTTTTTCTTTTAGGACAAATGTTGTCTACAAGTAGGCAAGTTCTAATAGCAAGCTAAGCAGTATTGTTTTGGATTAACTGGAGAAAACACTAGGCTGAGTAAAAGGATTGATGCAGACTCCCTGGAGAGGTCCCTAGATCATCTACAACATAGCACTGGCTCACTAAGCCATGAGGAAGCAAGTCCTAGATATGGAAATTACTTCTGCTGCATTTAGAAATACAAGGAAACAAAGTCCTTTAGGGTTAGAGCTAGTATGCTCTCCATGTCTTAGCCTTTGCGTCTCACCGTGAATGTACATATCTGACAAGGTTTGTGTGCCTACCACCCACACATGTCAACTTATCTGCTGTTCCTATCTCCTATGGAGCCGTTTTCATATTATATCTGCTTTAATGCTATAATGTACACTCATGTAAAGTAGCTTTGGGTCTAGATATCCTTCTGGCAGTGTCTAACATCTAGCCTAGTCTAAATCTCAGCACACCAAACACTTCTTTGCTGCCACATGCCACTCTGATCCAATTTCATCTTCCAGCTTAAGTTGATTTTTTTATGTGTATGAGCGCTTTTTCTGCCTTTATATTTGTACACTACATATGTGCAGTGCCTGCAGAGGTCAGAAAAGGGTGTCATGTCCCCTGGAACTGGAGTGGAGTTACAGCTGACTGTGAGACACTATGTGGGTGTTGGGAATCAAACTCAGTTGTTTTTAACTGTTCAGTCATGGCTCAAGCCTTCCCCTTTACTTTTGAGACAGAGTCTCTCATTTAACCTAGGCTGAGGTTCTGGGTAAATGATCCTTTGTTTTCATCTCCCCAGAACTAGGACTACAGGTACAGAACATTATACCTTAACTTTCTGTTATTATATATACACCTTTATTTAATATGTATGTTTTGCCTACAGTGTCCCAGGAGGCTAAAAGAGGGCATCAGATCCCCTGAAACTCAAGGAAAACCACCTACAAAGCTGTCAGTCTTGTCCTTTATTGGATAATCTGAAGCTTTATAACATCTGCTCTCAGCTAGCCAAAGCAGGAGCAGAAGAACAAAATATAATCTCATCAGCAAATGTGAAAAACTGTTCCCCTCTGAGAAAACTATTTCTTACTTTTGCAATGGCTGAGAACCAGAGTCACCATGCCTCTTCTCTGCCAAGGTGCAGGACAGAAGTGCAAATATGTGGAAACTTCCATTTAATCAAGAGTATGGGTTGACATTCAACAAAAATGCCAAGGGTGAGCAGGCTGTATTCAGTCACAAGGAAACATCTTACAATTCACTAATATCACCAGTCAGGGGAGAACTGACTTCTGAAGCTGTTGTCTGACACTCTACATGTACAGACACAATAAAAATTGTTTTATTGTGACTATAATCTCATATACTACTGGAAAAGTGGGTGCTGAAATGCAGACATTTTAGCAAAATAAAGTTCTGTCTTCATGCCTTCATGTAGGAATAGCATCCTGCACAAGTACCAAGGAAGGTTGTGAGACAACAGAGATGACCGGGCTTTTCCAAAGGCGCTCTAGCCATCTGGAGCACATGCTTTGGACGGTGGTGACTTTCTGACATTTAAATACTCTGTGTCTAATTGTTTGGAGGTTGGGATGTAGCTCAGTGGAAGAGCACTTGTCTAGCTAGCATACTTGAGGAGCTAGATTGTATTTTTAGTATTAGAATAAAAAAGAAAAAAAGCCTTTTTTTATTAAGGTTTCTTAAGCTTAGCACTACTGACACTGGACTTGGGTCCCTTGGGGAACTGTGGGCCAGCGGCAGCATGCCTGGCATCCACCAGACAGAGCAGTACTCCCAGTCACAATAAAAAAGTGTTTGCTGACATGGGCAGGTGTACAGTAAAGAGTCTGTAGAATCCCAGCTTCCTCTCTGTATGTTTGGTCTCCAGGAGAAAGAACCTTGTTTCTTAGCCTTTGACATCTCAACATTCTCCTCTTCCATAGTTCAGCCCTGTGGTTTTAGTTGCCTTTCCTTATAGAGTTTACCTTCAATTTTGGGGAACCAAGAAACACTTATTCTAAATTTTGGCAAGCCTTTTATTTTGCAGCATCTGTACATGCACAAGTTGTAAGAAAACAGATCTTACCCATCCCTTGCCCACTAATCTATAAAACCATTGCAACTATCACAAGACAAATTATACCCACATAAACAAACAATTTTACTTGTATTAATTAGTTGTTTTAAGTAACAACATTTTTATAGTAAGTTATGCCAGTCACCAGTCAAAATTGTAAGTTAGTTTCATCTGGCCCTTTTGCTTTTTTCTCTTCTCACATTGATTCATCCTAATATGCTGAAGCCTGCAATGTGCTTTAAGAGCCTTCAAAATCTGAACATTTTCATTTTCAACTTTACAAAAACTGAAGTATTATTCAAATTAAATTAGTCACATAAAAAAACCAACCTTAAGTCAAAGCATTCTCAAATTATGTTAAAGGAAAGAAAAATCTTTACAAAGAGAAAATATAATTTACTTTCCCCAAAAGTAACCCACATTTCTCTTGAAGGTCACAACTTCAATTTTTATAGAACCTTGGGGGGAAAAAATCTATGTGTGATAAACAGAAAACTCATTATACTCAAGGCACACATTTCATTGGGTTTGTAAACTTACCTTTAATGTGACTGGGGAAGGACGATGCCTCTCTTTCGCGTCTACCCATGGTTCTGAGTCCAAGTCAGGCAGGCTGGCAGACAAACCTCTAGACATCACTCGGAGAGTACTTGTTTCAGTATTGTTCTTTGGGCTCAGTGGACTTTCAATTCTTGGAGAGTTTGTGGCAGACTCTAAAATTTTAAATCAGTTCTGCAATTAAAAATACTGGTTCCTCTTTCCTATAAACTCCAATTCATTTTGCCTTAATTTGGATTTTCCTGCACAAAAAAATAAGCAATTTCAAAACCTTCCCATGATTTTCAAATATGAAAGGCTTGCAAGATCTACTCCAAATATTCAAAAGGAAAATCACCGAATGAAAGATGTTACCAACACTTATACAGAACATCTCATTTGTTAAAGCTTCAAGAGCACCAGTGAGTCGCCAATTAAAAGCCTGCACATTCAACTACAGAATGTCAGCTGCTAGTAGGCCACAGGTAGTCTAAATACACGTATTTCCTGACAGTAGCCAGCACTCCTACGCCCACATTGCTTGCATTAAAGATAGTGTGTCCACTTACTTCATGCCTCATGTTAAACACGGCAACACACATGCCACCACAGTAATGCACACACATCCACAATAACATTTCCAACATTCAGAATTTAAAAGGCCTTTCTTGGGGGTTGAGAAATGGCTTAATGGGTAAGAGTATTTGTTGCTCTTTTCAGGTCTCAGTATCTACGTGACACCTCACAACAAAACAGTTTTAGGGTTCAGGGTGCCTGACTCCCTCTTCTGACCTCCACAAGCACCAGATATACACATAACATACATGCAAGCAAATTAAAAACGGTAAAATCCTTACCTTGTCAGTTATTTTTAATCAAAATAAATACAAACTATTAAATCTAAATTGTTTCCTCTAAAATGTTTTTTCCAGGAATCCAAAGGATGATATTTCCCCCCTGCCCCAATTAAGACTCCTAGCAATAGTGGAGAGGGTGCCTAAACTGCCCTTCCCCTGTAATCAGCTAGGCAAATACCCTAACTATCACCATAGAACCTTCATCCAGAAACTGATGGAAGCAGATACTGTCAAGCACTGGACTGAGCTCCTAGGTTCAGGTGAAGAGGGGGAGGAAGCGTCATATGAGTAAAGGGGATCAAGAACATGATGGGGAAAATCAGAGATGGCTGACCTGAACAGGTAGCTCACGGACTCTGAATTGACTGCTGGGGAAACTGCATGGAACCGAACTACGTTTTCTGAATGTGACAGTTATGTGCCTTGAATCTGTTGGGAGAGGAGGGCACTTGGCAATGGATCCAGGACTTATTTATCCCAGGTGCCTGAACTGACTTCTTGGAGCCCATTACCTATGGTGGGATACCTTGCTCAGCCTTGATATGGAGAAGAGGTGCTTAGTCCTGACTCAACTTGGTATTCCAGACTTTGCTGACTCCCCAAGGGAGGCCTTACGCCCTCTGAGGAGTAGATAGGGGTAGGGAGGAGGTGGGGGGGATAAGAGAAGGGGAGGAAAAGGAACTGGGGCTAGTTTGTAAAATTAAAATAATTTTAAATAAAAAGTTTAAAAAAAACTTCAAGGGTGAATGTTATATGAAAGCTGAAACAGATGAACAGTGAGCCTTTACTTACTAAAATAAAGGTACAAAGCAGGAATACGTGTGATGAGGGTTGCAACATTTATTTCCATAAGCATGCTAGAGTTTGGTTTAGTATCCTCCTCCTATGACACACAGATGCAATAATCATCAGATCGCTGTTATTTTTAAAGAAGCAATTTGATTTAGAAAAGTCTCCAGAATATCCCAACCAATACAGTAGGATGGACATGCAAGCAAGCACACAGATAATGGGAGGCCTTTGCATTTGATAACCAAAACCACAAGAAAAGTTTGTTCAATATTATAATATGCTCTAGTTATAAGGAGCCAAGAACTGGAAATGAGGCTAATATGCTAAATGAGCAAAGATTTATGTTAGCCATGTTAATAATAATGTCGCTATATTAAATAAAAATATTTATAACAATATTACTGAAATTAAGTTAAACTGCAAAGTTGGTGTTTTTGTTCTGCTTCTTTTTTAGACAGTCTCACTGTGTAGCCCTGCTGGCCTAGAACTTGCTAAGTAGACCTGGAACTCAGACATCGGCCTCCCTCTGCTTGTCTTAGGACTGTAAAGGTGTATGTCTGATGGAGGAGGGTTATCTGTCTATTGTGTTATTTTCATTGGTCAATAAAGAGACTGCCTTGGCCCTTTGATAGGACAGAAAATTAGGTAGGCGGAGTAAACAGAATAGAATGCTGGGAAGAGGGCAATGAGCCAGATGCCATGGAGCCAGCCACCAGGTCAGACATGCTGAATCTTTCCCGGTAAGCCACACCTCGTGGTGTGATACAGATTAATAGAAATGGGTTAATATCAAGATATAAGAGTTAGTCAGTAACTAACTCTCTAGAGATAATGGGCCAGGCAGTGCTTAAATGAATACAATTTGTATGTTGTTATTTCTGGGACTAAGCTAGCAGTGTGGGAGCCGGGTGAGGTGAAAAGCAGGCCTGCCCGCAACTCCTTACTACAGATGGTGCCCCACGTTGGGCGCCATATGTAACATGTGGGCCGGCTAGTTGGGGTTAGGGTTCATATATCCTTCCTGGGACATTGTTGCTCTATAACATTTTCAATAACCAGCTCATTTATCACCAATTCACTCATAAAACCAGTACAAATGAAACAAAGAGGTTATACTCTTTCACACTGATAGGAGAGTAGGATAACTGTTTTTCTAATACGCAGAAATATTTACACAATGACCGAAGTTTTAAAAGAACACAAAGAACCACTATGTTGTTAACTACGGGGATGACTTGAGTTCCTTATACAACTATCACTGAACTGCATATATAGCTAAGGTATAAATGTCAGAACAGTACTGGAGACATACATAGTAGGAAAATCAAAAGTGTAGCCTTTTAATGTTTATTTTTATTTGGGTAAGGGTACCACTTGTGTGTGGGTACCGACAAGACCGGAAGAGGGTGCTAGATGCCCTGGAGCTGGAGTAATAAGCTGTGAGCTGCACTACATGAGTGTTCTAGCTGCGTACTCCAGCCTCAGTAGTTTTAATACACAAGGTTAGTCTTCTTATACTCACCTCAGGGTCTATTATGCAATCAAATCTTCATGTTTCCTAAGCTTGAATTATGGGTGTACCATGGAGTGTTCTAGCATAGTAAAAACTATGTACTGAGAAATGCAATGATAGTGAAATATTTGCCAAAGGAAAACATAGAACTATTAGAATGAAAGTTTCAAGGTGTTCACTTTGTATTTAAATTTACACTGAAGCCCTGTCGTGTTTTCTGGAACCTTAATTTTTTTATATAATTAAAATATTTCAGAGTACCTATTTTTAAAAAGCTAAGATTTGGAGTTTCTGACATTACTTTACATAGATAAAAATGGTTTAGATACATACCTTAGCTACAATTTGTGAAACTACCGACAATTTACCTTTGTTGATTTTATATTAAATGAAAAATATCAGTTTTGATCTCCAAAGATTAACATATGTTTTGATCTAGATGGTTTTATTTTCCTACTGTGGGACGACTGTAGTTCTGAGTAATGAGGATTTAAGAACCTCGACAAAAGTTTCCAGGAAAAGCCCCCCAGCCTGTTCAGTAGCCATTAGGCCCTCAAAGGTCACAAGCTGACAGTACACCGCACCCACAGCAAACCCTGCATTCCAGAAGTCATCTTACCAGTCTCATAATCAACCTTTTGTGGTGATTAAGATCTTCTGCTCAGTGGCAATGCCAACCCATGTTACACAATTCAACCTCCAAAGAGGAAAAAGTAGATATTTAAATTTCTGTGATGAAAAGGATCAATTATGTTAATATTTTACCATACAAATGGCACAGAAAATATAATCAAAAGTTATTAAGATACTATAATTTGGAATTAAGGGGCATTAGCTAAAAGCTTCACTCCTTTACTCCACCTAGTTACATAGGCCATCTATACACCCTACCTTATTTCTTCTGCAGTACACAGTGACAGACTACTTCTTCAAGCAGCCTACAAGTAGACTAACAAGGTCATAACGTGATGATTCAGAGGAAATGGTGGTGGACAGAATTTCTCCTATGAGCTAATGTGGGTCAGCATGTTTCTATCAACATGCCATATTTCCTTATTTACCATCTCTCAGCTCTTTGTATAATCTAAGGAATTTGATATTAATGTGACATCTTTATTGACTTATTTGTATGAATATGAAAACATGTCAAAAAGCAAAATGTACCAAACACTTTTTATTCTGGCAATTTTATTAATAATGCACAAATAATTAATGGAAAGGTAACTTGACTGACCACCGTAGCTATCTTGTGGGAGAAAATACTTTGTATAATGCCAACATTCCCAATAATTGTTCATAAGGTAGTTAAAATATCATCTTAAATCCCAAGATTACAGCTATCTTGTGGAAGAAGTAGTTTTTATATTATACAACTTCCCAAATAATTGTTCATAGGCTGGTTAAAAAGGACCCCAAGTTTACACAACAAATTTTTTATAGTTATTTGTTAAATCATTAACTATAGAGGTATAAATTTCACTTCTCTTTAAAAACATACCCTAGTTATTGCAGAGAGAAAAAATTGTGAGTATAAAAGATCTGAAGAGAGATATAACTTTGGGGCACAAAACATCTGAAACTTTCAGACTGTACAGAAACTAATTCTTTGTAACAATGAGTAATAAATTTTATGTACTATGTGAAATTAAAATATCTTTATAACAGAATTAAGTCATATGGTGTTTAAAAGGAACAAGGGATTACTTTGATTCGACCATCACTCTTCACTGATAGTCAGTGTATTAGCTATCTTTCTATCACTGCAACAAAACATTGACAAGATGCAACTTAAGGGAAGAAGGATTTATTTTGGCTCACAGTTTGAGGGGTTGAGTCCATGATGGCAGGGAAGACATGGTGATTGATGGGAACATGAGGTGGCTGGTCATACTGCGTCTACAGTCAGGAAGCACAGAGAGATGAATGCTGTACTCAGGCTAAGCATCCAGCCCATGTTTAGAATGTCTCTTCCTCTTCAGTTAAACCTCTCTGGAAATGCCATCACAGACATATCCAGTCAGGCTGTCAATGAAGGTTAATCACCACAAGTACATTCCTTTGTCACCTTGAATTTCAAACAAACCACTTTTAAACCATTACATTTCATCTCTGATCCCCATATGCTCATAAAGAAAAATCAATTCAGTCTCACTTCAAAAGTCTCAATAGTCTTTAGCTGTCCCAACAGTTCTCAAAAGTCCAACGTCTCTTCTGAGATACAAGGCAAACTCTTAATTGTGAGTCTCTATAATTTCAGAAAACAAGTTACATAGTTCCAGTGTACAATGGCACAGAGTAAACATCCCCATTCCATTGGAGAGGAATGGGGTATAGCAAAAGAAGATTGGATCAAAGCAAGACCCAAGTCTAGCAGGCAAACAATAAACCTTATAGCTCCATGCCCATCATCTGGGTCTTGTGATACTATCATCTGGGCTACAGTGACCACAGGCAGCCCCACTCCTCCAACTTTGTTGCTTGAAGCATAAACAGCCTGTCTCATGGGATGACTCTACTCCTCTAGTTTTCCTTGGCAGATGTCCCACAATTCTGGAGTTTCCAATAGCTTGGAAGTCTACTTTGTAACTTAACCCTCAGAGCTTCAAACATTGGTGTCTCAGAATCTCTTTAGCCACACAGTGCCTTCCGGTGTAAACCTCCATGACCCTGTATCTTACATTTTAAATGCATACTAAACTAGCATGAAGTGAATGAAGCATTCAAGAGCTACTGGCAGATTGAGGAGTTATCTGGACCCCTCCTAACACTGCTGTAAGTGGGCCTCTGCACAACTTTGTTACCAGACAAGGGGAACATTTCATGTCGGAGTTTAGATAGCTAGGAACCCCATCGGCTCTTCTTTCAAATCATTGTTCATTTCCACAACTTAGAAACTTCCAGAGGTTTTGCCCACATTGGTGCAGTCTTAGTGAAGACTGTAAGATAACTCGCTTTGGACTAAAATTAAGCTTTGTGTACACCCTGCTTGATGGCAACTTCAGATGATGCACCCCTAACTCCCCAACTGCACATTTCCCAAACTTTCTGCTTTCTGCTGTTATAGATTTCAAAAGGGCAGTGATGCTATCTTAAAACTGCCTTTGCCAAACAAATTGCAAATCACTCTATGATATTTTCAGGAATGGACATTCTTCATCAGAAGAAAACGCAAATAGTCTTTGGCTCAGCTTCCCCCAAAGTCCTTGCCCTTCTCTGAAAACTCCTTAGCACAATGTTTACTTTCCACCTTTTAAGTGACACACTGGTCTCCCACAAGCCCAGAATGGCCCACTGAGCTCTACTTACAGTGTTCTAAGGGTTCTCTTGCCTACAGTTTAGGAGTCTTTCATATCCCTTCTAAAAGCCAGTTTCAAATGTCTACAAACCACATGATCAGGATTTTCAGTGACAGTTCTACTCCTCGGTACCAACCTTCTTTATTAGTTATTTTTCTCATTGCTGTGACCAAATTCCTGACAAAAAGAATTTATTCTAATTTATGATGAGATGCATAGGCAGGCAGTGCTTCCATGTTAATGTATGAAATACAATTTTGAGACCAGCCACATGGCTCAGAAGGTAAGGGCACTTGCTGTGCAAATCTGACCACCTGAATTTCATGCCTGAATTCCACAGTGGAAATAAAGAAATCTCAAGTTGTTCTCTTACCTCCACACACACACAACACACCATGGCACACATGTGCCCACACTCATATCATATACACACATATCATATATACACAATAGTAATAAATAAAACAATAAGAAAAGCCCTTAAATAACAATCTTAAAGCATAAAATGCCCTCATTTATTTAACTTAAATTTTTTACCCCTTAAGTATTCACATTAATACATCTTATAGTACATGTGAAATATGACAACATGTGAGTTATGCAAAGTATACTATATTAAAGAGCAAGTCAAATAGCAAAGGACCTAACAATTTTGGAAATGCTACTCAATCCTCTCTTTTTCTGCTTTATTGATCTGGGCAAAGAAATAAATGCCTGGAAACAAAAGATAGAATTTGCAGTATTTCCCCAATGATAACAATGAACTTTCCCACCATGAATGAAGTAGCCCGTGCAGCCTAAGCTAATGACATAGAAAGGAGAAGCTCCTACAGTAACGACAGCAGTCCTCTGGTCTGTCTCATCATTATCGTAAAGGTGGTTATCTCCACTGCAGGCTGGCCCAACCTTCTCCACAAGGGGGTGGGCGTGGACATTCTTGCACAGAAGACAGTATGGTCACTCTCACTTCTGCAGCACGATTTGCTCTCATATTTACATGGTATTTCAGGGAGTCACCTACTCCACTGTACATTCCGATCATATGACATCCAAGAGCATCAGTAGATCATCACCCTGACTGAAAAAAGGTTAAGCACACATATTTTTCCCAAGAGCAATTATCTTAAAATGAACCAGGCCAAAAAAAACAAAAAAACAAAAAAACAAACAAAAAAAAACTTAACATGAATGTAGTTTTTGGAAACTCAAAAGAACCAGGTTAAAGAAAAATCTCAATTCTATTTTAGAATATGGGCCATTTTCTATTTACAAGACAAGATTAAAGTACATTACTGACAAAAGTAAAGGAGGGCTAGCTCACTCTTGATCACAAATTTTGGCTCTTTTGGTTTTACATGGAGAAAAGTGGCACTATATATAGTCATTTAGTAGATTTAAAGAAAGAAAGCCCACAAAAGATAACACAGACAAAATCTATGATCAAGAAACATCAATAGAACTTTACCTATGATTCTGAATAATTACAGTCTAGCTGGGAGATAGCATAAGTAGAATTGGGAGGACCAGAAGTCATTTGCTTAGCTTTAGTTTCCCATGAAAGCTCAATAAACTATGAATAGATAGGCAAACTCAAGCAGCCCACTGTTAACACTGTTTGCACTAGAAGAAAAGCAGTTACCTGTATGGGAGCCAAAGGCCTGCCCTGGTATGAACTCCGGACAATCAATCAACTGAGAAAAGTCTGTTTGTGGCACATTTCGTGGAGGAGGGCCTGGGATTGGCCATTTTTCTGGTTCTATCTTTTTCCTCATTTTCTCGTCCACAATTTCTACTTCTGTGCTATCCTTCAGTGCCTGACAATAGACAATTTAAACTGTTAAAGTGGCATTCAGAAGGTCTTAGTTATATGCCTTATACTTCTAAACTGAAAATTAAAAAGCTTCAAGTTAGTAGACTGTAAAACAGTTAATGAGTTTAAAAATAACCATGAATTTGTGACAGGAATAGAACAAATTTCCCAGGGATATTGGCCCAAGATGTTAATTCCAGTGGTCAGGTGGTACAAGCAAGAGGATTCTGCCAAGTTTGAGGCCTTTTGGTCTACACAGAAAGCTCTGGGCCAACCCAGTTTCAAAAACCACAAACAAGGCTGGGCGGTGGTAGAGCACACCAGCACTAAGGAGGCAGAGACAGGTAGAGCTCTATGAATTTGAGGTCAGCCTGGTCTACAGAGTGAGTTCCAGACAGGCTCCAAATCTACACAGAGAAACCATGACCCAAAAGAACCTAAAATAAAGCAAGCAAGCAAGCCGGGCAGTGGTGGCGCATGTCTTTAATACCAGCACTTTGGAGGCAGAGACAGGAGAGTCTCTGTTGAGTTCAAGGCCAGCATGGTTTACAAGAGCTAGTTCCAGGACAGGCTCCAAAGCTACAGAAAAACCCTGTCTTGAAAAACAAAAACAAACAAAAAAGTAAGTAAGTAAATAAATAAAAATAAAACTCAGGAAGTAGGGATGGGGCTGAACGGTGGTAGGTGAAGTTCTCCTAGTTATTCTAGCTATACAGTGTGCTTGAGGCTGGGCTGGGCTGGGCTATATGAAACCCTGTGCTGCCCAAATGCAGCTGACAAAAAAAAAAGTAGGTGAACAAAGGAGGCTAAAGACATAGCTCACTTGATAGAGTACTTCCTAAGACGACAGATGTCCTGCGTTTGATCACAGGTAGGTACCCTGGAAAAAACCATGTCTGGTGACTCATGCTTATAATTCCAGCACTCAGGAGGTAGGGGCAAGAGGATAGGACGTTGAAGAGTATCCAAAGTTACATATTCTGATATGAGCTCAAGACAAGACCCCACCTAAAGAGGAATGTACAAAAAAAGAAAGCTCACAGATTGTCAAGAAAACAGGTGATTAGTGCTGGAGAGATGGCTCAGGGGTTAAAAGTGCTGGCTGCTCTTCAAGAGGAACTGGGCTGGATTCCGAGCACCCACATAGTATCTCACATTTGTCTGTAACTCCAGTTCCAGGAGATATAACACCTTCACACCAATGTACATAAAATAAAATTTCAATAAAAGAAAAAAGAAAACAAGTGATTGATTACTGGTCAAAGATGAGACAAAAACTGTTACTTATCCTGTGCAATTTATTCCCTATGTAGAAAACAACCTGTGGTTTTCACACATAAGGCTTTACATACTGTCCTTAGCAGGTGGAAATCAAATTTAAAAGAAATTATTTACGATTGATGCCTTCTTTAAAAAAAAAAAAGGTATAGAATACATATACACCAAGGGCCAGGCATGATGGTACATGTCCATAATCTCATCACTAAGGAGGCTGAGCCAGGAGGATTACTACCTTATGTCAAAGAAACAAACAAACAAAATTCTAAAAAACAAAAAACAACAACAAATACAACAAAAAAAACTATATACAAATAGTTCAAGTAAAGATCTAAAACTGGCTGGGCAGGGGTGGCGCATGCCTTTAATCCCAGCACTCAGGAGGCAGAGGCAGTTGGATCTCTGTGAGTTTGAGGCCAGGCTGGTCTACAAGAGCTAGTTCCAGGACAGGCTCCAAAGCTACAGAGAAACCCTGCCTCTTAAAAAAAAAAAAATCAATCTAAAACTGATATTTTTATAAGACCCAAAGCATGACAAATTGACCAAACAAGATCCTGTACACAATAATTTGGGGACATCCAACATTTTCATTAGCTGATCAGCTGAGTGTTCTTCTTCATGATAGAGTTATTAAGAAAAAAATTCATGGTGGTGCACACCTTTATTCCCAACACTCAAGGAGGGAGAGGCAGGCAGATAGATCTCTGTGAGTTCAAATACAGCTAGGACTACAAAGACCTTGTCTCAGAAGAAGAAAGGAGAAGAAAGAAGAAAGGAGGAGAGGGAAGGAAGGAGCAGGAAAGAGAAGGCGGCACTGGGCTAATGAGGCATCTTAGCTGGTAAAGACACCTACCACCAAGACAGAGGACCTGAATTCAGTCCATAAAGCCCAAATGGTAGGAGAGCACCAACTCCTAGAAATTGTCTTCTGACACACATACACACCATGGCTAAACTTGCCTACTCATCTACATGCAAAATAGATGTCTGTTTGGCTTTTTAACATAGTTAAGTACTGGGGCTGGAGAGATGGTTCAGCGGTTAAGAGCACTGGCTGTTCTTCCATAGGTCCTGTGTTCAATTCCCAGCAGCCACGTGGTAGTTCACAACCATCTATAGTGGGATCTGAAACCCTCTTCCGGGATATAGTTGTACATGCAGATAAAGCATTCATATGCATAAAATCAAACAAAAAATTCTTTAATGCTGGGATATGTACCTTTGGGAACCTGAGAAGGATTGAGCAGCTGCAAATTAGGTAGATCCAGAAAACAGGGTTTAAGTAAACCTAAAGTTAAACAGCTGGTAAACTACAGATCCAGGCAGGACCAATTGTATCTAAGGTATATCAATAGCAAGAAAGTTATGGGACAAAAAACAAAATGAAGTTGAGTGTTGGATTTCACATCTGTAATCCCAATACTCAGGAGGCATGACGCAGGATTTCTGTGAGTTTAAGGCCAGTCTGGGCTATGTTTTTAAGAAAAAAAAAAAAAACCTGACTCATGTAGACAATACTAAATCAGAGCAACTCACTAAACTTTCTAGGAACTACAGACCACCATAAATCAAAACACGTTCACATAAAGACCGCAGTTTTTATTCATCATTTTCAAATTGTGAGAGGACAACTTGTATGAGTCGGTAGTGGCCCACTTCTTTTATCTTTTGTTACTCCTGGCATGAACCTAGGACCTCACATACATTGGCCAAATGCTCTACCACTTATCTCTTTAACACTATTTTTCAGGGCAGTTTTAGATTCCCAGGAAAAGTGAGTATGACTTAGATTCGTTTTAAATGAATATTTACCTCCAAGATGAGATTAAGGTTTGTGGTGAGAGCTCGCACACGGTGAAACCCAGCAATCAGGGAAATGGGCAGGAATCCCTGCTCATCCATCTTTCTGCGAAGAAAGAAGTCCCGCTCCAAGTTCTCTGTGCTGAAGTAATACTCACTAAGAAAGGAGAGGACATGAGTTCATTCACTCATTTGGCAACATAGAGATATACCCACTGCTTACAACTGCTACCAAAATATTTTCCTATGCTTAATACCTACTACCTTACAGGTTAAGCAAAATATACATATATATAACACAACACAGGACAAATATGAGACCAAGCAAAAACCTGGTTAATTGACAGTTTCTCTTACACAAAGCATAAACAGAATATTAATTAAAATTCAACACTACCTAAAATAACTTCACTTAAGTCTAACAAATTAAAAGCTAATTTTAAAATCCATTTATTGATGTTGTTGTTTGGAATACAGCCCTATACATGCTGGGCAAGAGGAAAATCTACAGTCCTGGATTTATCTATTAGTCAATCACTATTCCATTACAAAGATATCATTACAAAGACATCTCCATTTGCTTCATTTAAACACTAAATAATAAAAGATAAACACCAGTTTTACTGCCTCTCAATTTATTCCCAATCACTGGGGAAAACAGTGCACTTGAGAGTGTCTTTAGTTCATACTCAAACATAAGGAACTTGATTTTGTCTTTTTAACCTAAACTGACAACACGATGACTTTTGGACCCTTTGCAACCAGCACACAGCTAAGTTACACTTATATATCCATAGCTCCTAGAATATGCATAGCCCTAGAAGCCCAGGATTTGATCTTCAGCACTTTGAAAACAAAGGGAAGAATGAATATAAAATAGCTAAGAAAGAAATATCAAAGACTTTATGAACTCCATGGAGTAAAAATGCAGACAATGCTTAGATGACTCAGGGTTAGAAAAGTGTAGACCAACTTAACCAATCCCTAGACAGAAAGTAAGCAGATACTGTCAATATGACCAAAGACCATAAACCTCAATATAAAAATAAGAGACCCAAGAGAAAATATATTTAATAAAAGAATTTGGAAATCATACATTTATATGTACAGCGTCCACATAATAAAATGAGAGTAAGATTCTAAAGACAAAGACCAGGATCTCAGACAGGAGAAAGAGAAACCCATGGTGACATAGCGTAGCTGGCAATCCTACAGCTTCTCAAGACCCAAGGAAGTTCAAGAGGCACCAAGTTAAGAGAACACACACAATTTTACTTTTTTAGTGTAAAACTCCATTAAGTACCTTTGGGTACTTAGGACAAATTCTAACCTGAAAGAACTAAGCACATCTTAATAAGAACTAGTTTGGGGTTATTACACTTGTGGGAGAAGAAAAGTTATCCTACCATTAAAACATAACACATCTAAGTTTGTCTTGTGTGATATTCAGTCAAAGTGCATGTCAGCAACATTAATAAATCATTTGCTATTAAATAATGAAAAAAAACAAAGTTGTACCTTCTGACTTTTTTGTTTTTGTTTTTTGAGACAGAGTTTCTCCGTAGCTTTGGAGGTTGTCCTGGAACTAGCTCTTGTAGACTAGGCTGGCCTCAAACTCACAGAGATCCGTCTACCTCCTCCTGAGTGCTGAATTAAAGGTGTGCACCAGCACGGCCCGACACATTCTGATTTTTATTGCACTTCAAATACCTAATCACAGTATCTTTGAAACGACCGAGATTACTAAACCTGGGACAGTATACTAGACATTCATGCAATCACAGGTTAAAATTGTACTTAGATGCAAATTCCTTAAATGAGTAATAAGCTTCCCTTTAAATGTAATCCACTGAAGACCAAACTATATAGGCAAATCTACAAATCATTATTAGCTATAGTCTATGCTGGGTCACAAACATACAAATCTCTAGATCTGAATGACCAAAGATTCCGTCTGCCAGCCCAGCAAAAATAATTAGTGTAAAAATTTAACCCAGTGTGATGACGAGCTAGCACTTGGGAAGTTGAGGCAGGAGGGACCAGGAGTTTGAAGCAAGCCTAGGCTCCATTAATGTCTATCATAAAAGGAAAAAAATGTATTTTTTACTTAAAATGTATTATTGAAATAAAGTTTCCATTTAAAGTGATTGAGACTATCCATTAGGAATAGTGAAGCATATTAATTTAAAATTTATTTCAGTTACCTATTTATTAAGCTTTGTTGGTTAGAGTGTGGTACTAATAAAACATACTTAACACCAAAGTACAATGAAAACTTAAAAAAAAAAAGCGAACCCAAACTCAAACTGATCATTTCTCTAAGCACTAGACTAGAAACACAGTCTACACATGACTCCTCAAAGCCATAGCTCCACTGAGCAAAGTAAGAACCAGCTTCCCTAACTGAGACTCCACAGATGTTTGCCAAAATCCCTGCCTGAAATCCCTGAAACAAAAAAAAGGGGTCAAGACTAATGACTGCCATTTTTTGCTCCATGTCCTTGGGGACATACATGTCGTACCTTAGCAGCTGTGCATTCTACACTGCATGACCAGAAACTCCTCCCTCACTCGCATGAGCACAGAGGAGGCCGAATATCCTGACATGGAGTTGCATGTTTGTTCACTGTCAGGTCTCAGAAGGGACCTAGCAGTAAGAGTTACAAAAAAAGACAGGAATAATGGGATGAAGTTGACTGATACTTTCTGGCCATAAAAAGGCCCCTTTCCTGATCAGTTTTGTGTTAACCCTAACAAAGGAAGCAAGAAACAAGTTGCTCTGTACTCAAGAGTCCATCTCATCTACCACCATGGCTACCAAAGGTGCCTGGCTGGTGTCAATGAGGATATTAATTTCTAGTTACAGAGGAGGATCCAGTTTCTTTTTTTATAAAAAATGACTATTTTTTAGATGCTCATTCCCTTTCAGAAATAGTCCTTTTCCTTTACCATTCCAGATTTTAAAAAAATAAGATTTTATCCAGTTTTGTACAGAAGTCACTGGGAAGGTTTTTCTTTTTTTTCTTTTATCATTATAAACATATCATCCAAATACACAAAATGTATATTTGAAACAAGCAGAGGACAACAACTATCGTTGTTGGACAACAACTATTATGGAGATGTCAGGTCTCAACTAAAACATTCATTTAATAGATGTCATAAAGAAATAACAACATAGGATAAAGAGCTTAAAAGATTAAAAAACAGACAATATAGAAATCAATTGCTATGAAAAACTAAGACATTGGAAGTGCTTTTATTATTGTTATAAATATTTTATTATTGTTATGAGACAGAGTTTTGTTCTGCATCTCAAGCTAGCTTTTAACTCATAGCAATTCTGTTTCAGCTCCCCAGTGCTGAACTTACAGGTATGCACTACCACACATAGCTCATTTACAAATGTTAATATAAGCATGTATTTGCAAATGAAATAAAATTTACTTAATTTCAAATAATATGTAGACATTATAGTCTTTTTATGATAGTTACTCATTATGCAATAATATTTCAACTATTCTTAGGAAAATGACGAGAACATGGGAGAAAAATCTCACTCTCTAACTTTTATTATTACACTTTTGGAACTGTGATAAAATAGTCAAAGATATAAGTTTGCTTCAGAAACAGACACCACTGCCATCCGTGTCTACACCAACTTACATCTGGCGCTTAATGTACTCTTTAAGCAGTGTCTCTTCCACAGGATATACCTGCACACCTGTGCCATCGTCGTAGTAATACATCATACTGGTGTTGAGCTCTGTAGGAAATGGCTGATCAGTTCTTTCCCCTGGCTCTCGATAACCATAGGAATAATCAAAGTTCACTGGACACAAAGTAAAAGAAAGGTGATCACAAGTTAAAAGATAAGTAACTCATAAATGTAAAGAGAAATCCAAAATGAACAAGTTCAAACACAAACCAAATTTATTGGGAAACCAAAATAATTAGTAGAAACATTTCCTGCATACAGTACCTGGGTCCCTTATGGTAGAGAGGATCAACTCTGCAATTTTTCCTGATTTCCACATGCACACCATGGTACACTCACCTAAACACTCTGTCTCCTCTCTCTCTCTCTCTCTCTCTCTCTCTCTCTCTCTCTCACACACACACAAACTAGCATAATACAGGGTAATATGAAAAAAATGAGAAAATTTGCTAGCTTTTTTCAAAGAACATCTATTTTAACAGAAAAATAAAAATCTCATGTCATACATCTAGGGTTTCCTCGACCCCGGCCTCTTCCACGGCCCCGGCCTCTTCCGCGGCCTCTTGCAGAACCTCGGATGGTGCCACCCTCACTTCTCACACTCGATACTTCATCTTGATCATCTCTCTTTTCTCTATCCCGTCTCCAACCTTAAAATAAGATATTTTAACACTTAAATTTGCAATAAAATGATACAATCATCTCTATGAAAACATAGTAATTACCTTCCACCATTTTTTTCCTCTTTGGATTTTATATTATCTTTTATTTATTCTTTGATAATTTCATGTGTTTACAATGTATTTTGATTGTAGTCATCCTCTACTCACCTCTTTTGGATTTTTTTTTTCACACAAGGTCTCACTATGTAGCTGGGACTGGCATTGGCACTGAATTCAGAGAGAGATTAGTTTCCCAAGGTATGGGGATTAAAGGTGTTAACCACCAGGCCTGGCTTCCTAGGGTGGGTTCTCAGAGAGTGTCTGACTATTCAGTCCAGGCTGGCCTTGAACTCCAAGATCTTCCTGCCTCTGACTTCTGTGGTACAGAGATTACCAGGCAGGATTTCTCTGTCTCTCTGGAGCCTGTCCTGGAACTTGCTTTTTAGACCACGCTGGTCTTGAACTCAGAGATCCACCTGTCTCTACCTCCTGAATGATGGGATTAATGGTGTGCCTGCCTTAAATGTCCTTAAATGAAACATTAGAAAGACAAAGAGGTCCTCTGCTAAGAATGCACTGATATATACATATTCAGTGCTCCACAGCTATTGAATTTTACACATAAAACTCCTTCTGTAAGAAAGAAATACTACCATTTAGTAAAAAGCTGTTGTTCTAAACAAGAGAAACTGAAAGCACACACACACAAATCCAGATAAGACACATGAAGAACAAGAGGAATTGGATCCATAATACACATTCTATGTGTCCTGTCTATATCTGGCCCCCTCTGCCTCATTCTCCCTATATGTTTTTTTGTTTGTTTGATTCTTTTGAGACAGGGTTTCTGTGTAGCTCTGGCTGTTCTGGATATCGCTCTGTGGTCTCTGCCTCCCAAGTGCTGGGATTAAAGGTGTGCACCACCACTGCCCAGCCCATTGTCTCATATGTCCCACAAAAATTAGAAAATAGCTAAAAGGTCAAACAAGAATATACAAGTAACCAATGAACCTAAAACATCATGCTCCATCTGATTGGCCCTGAGGAATGAGTCACCTATCTAGAATGATAGGCATTCTAAAGTCCTATGCTAACAAGTGTTTCGTTTTTTTGGTAATACAGAGCATTAACAGTGCTAGCTTAGCATTCTACAACCAAGGCATATTATAAGCTCTAAAATGCTGACCAAAACAGAAGATGATACATTGTGTACTATCAGTGAGAGTTAAAACATCAACATTAAATTGGAATAAATAAACATAATAAATAAAAGCAACCAAATTAGAGATAAGATTTTTCAACCTCATCCTTTAGATACTGGTGAAAAGAGGGTGAAATGGAGTTACCGTGTGTGCTGTTTAGAAGTTTTACATTCCCCGTCACTTTCACTATTAGACATCAGCCCTCAGCAAAGATATCCAACATTATCTGCCCCACTGAGAGCAAACTGCCCTAGACCCTGTAACTTCATTCTCAGTGCCAATTTAAAATTACTTGTAACTTACATGTGTGTGGATTTATTTCTACCACATCTGAAGAGCCCATAGAGTTAGAAGGGCCCCCTGGGTCCCTTGGAACTGGCATTACAGGGGTTTGTGTGCTGCTGCTGCTGCTGCTACCATGTGGGTGCTGTAACCTAACACTGACCTTATACAAGAGCACTAAGCGTTTTTAACCCCTGAGCTATCTCTCTAAATATTCTTGCTAAAAATGGTTGCACACACCTACAACCCCAACTATTGGTAGGTTGAGGTAGGGGAATTCTGAGTTCAAGACCAGTCTGGGCAACAATACCCAGTGAGATCTCATCTAAGATAGCTATTTCTTTCTTAACCCAAAGTAGGCCTTATTTTACAACACACCATAATAAACTCCCAAAAAGTTTAATATTTAAACATTTTATAGAGTATTTGACGGCAGTCATTGTTTGTGGTACACTTTTATTTCAATGTTTGAGAAACAGGCAGGTTAATCTCTGGTCTATACAGAGAGACCCTGGACCCGCAAAAAAGTAAACGAAGATTCCTACTATTTTTAAGTTCAAATTCAATCTTAAAAAAAATTATAAAATTCAAAGTAAAGAACCACTTAAAATACTCCTATTATCTTGTCGGAAATGTGGTGATGTGAGTGATGCATACCTTTAATCCCAGGACTCAGAAGCAGAGGCAGGCAAATCTCTGAGTTCAAAGTAAACCTGGTCTACAAAGAATTCAATGATAGCAATAATAATCCTATTAACCTTTAAAAATATCAATGTCAGGAAAAACAAGGCAAAAGAGCTGTTAAAACAATGATGTAGATTAAAGAGAAAGACAACTAAAGCAAAGTGTAATACCAAACCAAATGGGGAGACATCGGACTACAAGCCCAGAGTGATGACATCTTTCTGTAATCCTAGCATGTAGGAGGCTGAGGCAGGAATCTCACAAGTCTGAGGTCAAGCACATAAAAAGTGCCCAGCTAGACCCAGCTAAATAGTGAGATCCTGTCTCAATATAAAATAAGATATAGAATTACAATTAAACCAAAACTGGACAAAAAGTTATTGACAGTTACACTGCTAAAATTCAGCTTTGTTAAATGCCATAATTACAGTAAGGTATACAGGGTTAGAGATGTGTCTGCAGTTTACTCTATACAGCTCCAATGATAAACACTAAAGCCAATGATAAGCCCTAAAACTATGTTCATTCAAATATCATGGCACTCTTTAAACGACACTTACTTCGTGTATCACTTTTCCTATTACTGTGAGCTGGCTTATTTGCTTCAGGTTGACATCTTGAGCTGTTCCGGGACCCAGGTCTTTCCTGGCTGTCTGGTCTCACATCATCTAAGTGTAGTGGTACCCATTTGTGCTTATTAGCTTTAAGAAACAAAACAAAATAATTTCATGACAATGTACAATTTTTATTAAAGCGCTGCAATTTTGAAAGCACTCTAAATTTTAATTAAACATTCAGCTGTCTTTAAATGGATTATCTGTAGACTACCAAAACCTCTTTCATTCTTACAGACTGATCCTTGATAAGTTTATGTAGATACTTCAAGTAAAATAATAGCAAGTGAAAAGACAGCAATTAAAAACAAATCAAACAAACAAATACGCAAGGGTCTGGGAAGATAAGTTAGTAAAACACTTGCTGGCCAAGCACCAGGACCTGAGTTTCACCCCCAGCACCCACCTCAGATCAAGGCTTATGCCACTAACACTCAGGGATGGGGAGGTTGAAACAGGAAGATCTCTGGGGCTTGCTGGTCAGCAGGTTTCAGATTTAGTCAGAGAACCCATCTCCAACAAGACAGAGAGCAACTGGCCTCCATACACATATGCATCCACATCCACATCAACACACAAAAACCATAAACAAAACTTTTGGTTTTAGAACACTGTCTAAAGCAACCATTTGTTCAGTCTTACTACTAAGTGGTTTCTCAAAGTTTGAGAGGAATAAGATGCTATTCTCTGACACTACATTTTTACAGTTATTATATTACAGCTGCTACAGATACAATGAAGATGAGAGAATATGGGCAAAGTGGATCTTGCATCTGAGAGGCTGAGGCAGGAGGAGGATTAAGTTCTAATCTATCCTGAGATACACGCCAAAAATCTAAAGAAAAAACAAAGTGGTTGTGATGTTAATTCCTTTTCCCTAGGACAGGGTCTCATTATGTAGTTCTGGCTGTCCTGGAACTCTCTCTGTAGACCATGGTAGCCTTGACTAAAAGAGGTCCACCTGCCTCTAACTCCAAGTGCTGAGATTAAAGGCGTGCACCTCTACTGCACAGTAATGCTGTTAATTTCAATTGTCAACACGAAGGGATTTGGAATCACTAAGGGAAAGAGACTCTGGGCTTCTCTATAAGGGATTCTTCTCGATTCTGTTAATCAAGGTGTGCCAGCATGATTTTATGGGCTAGAGCATGGGAGGAAGCAGAGCAAGTTTCATGGCCTGCTGCTTCATAACTGTGGTGAAAGACAGACAGCTGTCTCAAGATCTTGTCTCAGTAGCTGCCCCACCATGAAAGAAAATATCCTTTAATCATTATCCTAAATAAATCATAGCATCAGGAAAAGGAGCTAATTGGAGGTGGTAGCTGGTTCAAGCCTATAATTCTAACATGTTGGGTGTAGAGGCAAGAGAATTAATAGCCCAAAGTCATCCTGGACCCATAGAAAGATCCTATCTGCATAAAAAGACAGAAGACGGGCATAGGTAGGAACAGGAGAGGGCAGGAAAGGAGGAAGAGAAAGAGATACAATCAATTGGCTTCTGTTGGGACTGGCAATATTAAAAATTGTTTTGGCTGCCAGGCATGGTGGTGTAGTTCTTTATTCCCAGCATTTAGGATGCAAAGGTAGGGGGAATCTCTGAGTTTAAGTCCAGCCTAGGCTACATAATGAGTCCTATGATGACCAGTGTTAGATAGACCTACTCTCAAAAAAGAAAAAAAATGTTACACTATAGTAAATTTCTGAAATTTTTTTTTCTGATTCCATCACTAAGGTATCAAAATGCTTAGCATTTGGCCCAATGTTTACTTTTCTACCAAATTAAAATAGATGTAGGACAAAGAAAAGATGACCAAAGTTACTGATAGGAAAAAAAAATATTATTGCTGGCAAGATGTCCAAGCAGATAAAGGCACCTACCAAAAAGCCTGATGTAGAAGATGTTTGTTTACAAGATGCCTAACTACTGGCCATTTAGCTCAATTAAACCAATTGAGGTGCCCTGGCAAAGACACATCTTCATAGTGTAAACAAATACATGCCACTTCTCAGGACAGAAAGAACTCTGGGAAGAAAGGTAGAGTCTGGGAGACATGGAAGATAGGATAGGCAGTAAGCAACAGAATGTAGACTAAAATAAAGAGCTAGTGAGACAAGCTAAGTCTGAGCTTTCATAATTAATAATTAGTCTCTGATCGTTATTTGTGAGCTGTCGGCACACAGCCCGACTGAGTTTGGTCCTTAAAACTCATATAGTAGGAGAAAACTGACTCCTGCCTTCAACCTCTACATGCATGCTATGGATGCACAGACTCATATATGTGATGATGGTGCATGCCTTTGATCCTTGTAGAGGCAGACATAGGCAGATTTCTGAGTTAGAGGCCAGTCTGAACTATGAATCAAGTTCTAGGATAGTCAGGGCTCCATATAGAAATCCTGTCTCCAAAAACAAACCAACCAAACAAAACCTTAAATAGTATAGAAAGTCTGCACCATGCTATGTACCTTACCAACCTTCCCATCCTTGTCTACTTTATCTTTTTGGTTTTTCAAGTTACTCACTAAATAACACAGGTTGGCCTCGAACGTGCATTTTCTTCCTGTCTCTGGTTCCCAAATTCTTTATGTATGCATGCACATGTGTTATAGTTGCATGTTGGACATGGAGATCAGAGGACAACCTTTGGAGTCATCCTCAGGGAAACCATTCATCTGTCTCCTTTGAGACTAAGTTCTTCACTGACCTTCGGCTCACTAACTATGCTAGACTTGCTGGCCAGTAATCGTTACAGAACCTCCTGTCTCCAACTCACAAGTTCTGCCCTTGTGCCCCATTTTACACGTGCATTCTGGAACCAAATTCATTATCTTCATGGGTAGATGTCAAATACTTTCTGGCATGAGCTAACTTCTCAGTCACATAACCCTTCATTAAAATAACAAAAAACAAACCAGGCATGGTGGTGTATGCCTTAAATCCCCTAACTAAAGAGGCAGTGAAAGTATGTTTCAGGCCAGTCAGAATTATATAGAGAGACCGTGTATTAAAAATAAATAAATGAATAAAGTAAAAACATACAAACAAATAACAATAAAAACCCAGCATGTACTCGATTTGATGTGCTGGCTTTGAATTAAAAGACAAACAAAAAACCAAAAAAACTATTCCGGTTGATTGGTGGTGCGCATGACTTAAATCACAGCACTCAGAAGGCAGAGGCAGGTGGATCTTTGTTTTTTCTAGGTCAGCCTGGTCTACGTACAGAGCTAATTACAGGACAGTCAGGGCTACAGAGAGAAAGCCTGTCTTGAAAAACTAACAAAAAAAGCCCCAAACTGCTTTCAAGCCTTTAGACCATTGTTGGATCGCTCGGACTTACATGGTAGGAGAGAAACAATTACTACAAACTGTTTTTCCCCTCCACATGTATGCTGTGGCATGTGCATGCCCCATAAATAAAATATGAAGTTTGTCAATATTATCTTCATTAAAAAAAAACATACAGGCTGGAGAGATGGCTCAGCGGTTAAGAACTCTGACTGTTCTTCCAGAGGACCTGGGTTCAGTTCCCAGCAACCACATGGCAGCTTACAACTGTCTGAAAATCCAGTTCCAGGGGATCTGACATCACACCAATTCACATAAAATAAAGTTAAATAAATCATAAAATTTATTTAAAAAATACACATACACAATAGGTGCACACTTCATGATTCAAATATGATCTAAATTCTTCTTTTATTTTTTTGGTTTTGTTTTTCAAGACAGGGTTTCACTGTAGTTATCAAGTCTGTCCCTGGACCTAGCTCTTGTAGACCAGGCCTGTCTCTGCCTCCCAAGAGCTGGGATGAAATGCATATGCCACCACCATGACCTAAATTTACCTAGCTATATATAAAGCACCAGACATAAGTATTGGACAATTTATTTCAATTGAAGCAACCAAAACAAAGACAAAGTTTAGAGCGAAGTGACAGGTCTTTCATAAGTATGAATTCTAGACAGCCATGAAGACAATTATATAAGAAGCAGGAAAAAAAAAAACGTTGAGTGGTAAAGCAATTAGATCAAACTCTAGCCCTTAATTCAACAGCTAATATTATTTAATAAAAGACAATGATTCAGCCAGGAAGGGCTGTTCATGCCTTTAATCCCAGAGTCAGAAGATCTCTGAGAGGCAAGCCTGGTCTGCATAAAGAACTCTAGGACAGCTTGACTACATAAAGAAACTGTACCTTAAAAATACAATATATAGATTCTGCAGTTGTGACCCAAACACAGAGGAAGCAAGATGTGATGGCCTCGCCAAGAGAGGTGCCAAATCACATGGTTAACATGACAAGAAATATGGGCTAATATAAGTTATAAGAATTAAACTAAAAAGAGCCTGAGATACTGTGCCAATCAGTTTATAATTAATGCAGACTTCTGTGTGATTTCATTGAGGCTGAATGGCTGCAGGACCACAGACAACAAATGGTATCCACATAGATAACTAAATCCACATAAAGCCTGAGAGAGCTTGGGAAGTAACTTTAGACAGAAAATAATAGAGTTAAGCATGGCTTATTGATAGCAGCATTTTCTCAGGTGAGGTCTTCTTGCTAGAGGCAAGTTTTCTCATTTAAGAGGTTTCCTGACTCAGTTTTAGCTGTAAAACCTTGAAACTCTTTTAAGAGGACCTGCCACTACTTAAATGGTGTTGATGAAAAGCTGACCACATGCTTTTTGGTGGTGGCAGGGACCTTGAAATGCCATAGAGTTGTGGCAATCTCAGAAAGCTAAAGAATGGGCTGGATCCAGCCATCAAAGCCACGGCTTTAATCCTAGCCATACTGCTTAACAAATTAAAGACTCATGTGGTCAGAAAAAGAGAGAGATATACAGTAAAGACAGATTCAAAGACGAAGAAAACCTCTAAATGGTTTACTGTGTGCTTAAAAAATATATGTGGGCTTGGGAGGGAAAAATGCATAAAGTCCTTAAAATAAAAAAGAAAAAAAGAGCACTTGGGAGCACAGAGGCAGGCAGATCTCTGCGAGTTCAAGGACAACCAGGTCTATGGAGTGAGTTCCAGGACAGCCAAAGATACACAGAGAACCCTGTCTCAGAAAGCCAAAAATTAAAAGTAAAAATAAAAGAAATAGAATTTAAAGTAAAGTCACATAAAGATGGAAGATACAGAGTCTAGATACTGTATTTTATTATGTTGTCTTTGAATTCCTTGATAACTGAAGAAGTAGCAACAGTTGCTAAGACATTTGAATATAAATGCTTCTGGATTAATAAAACATAAATATTTTGAAGATACCTTGACTTCAAAATTCAAGTCTAAAGGTATGTTCCTTTGAAGAAGAGGTTTTGCTTTTGTTTCCACAAGAAATAAGCCTGTGGATTCATTCCAGATTAAGAAAAATCAGGTTTGATCAAAGAAGACCCCCTGAGAAATCTCCAATAGGAGTTGATGGTCCAGATGTCTGAGTTCTACATACATCCAGAACAGATTCAAGACTTCTGCCTGAGATGATCCAGGCTCACAGGATATTCCAGTCACGACTTGATCATAATTCTAAATTTTCTTTAGGTCCCCATAAGATTATCAGCACTCTCAATGAGCAGAAAGTAGCCTGAAAAACTACATTCACATTCCCAAAAAATGGACTATGGATATTTTCTTTTGTTTAGAATGTTGGTTACAAGTTGTTGTGGATAATGGTCAGGAGAAAAGCTAAACAAAGGATATGAGATTCAGAATTCTTGCTTTAAAAAAAACGGGGGGGGGGGGGGAGTGCTGTGGGACAATGGTTTATACCCTGTCAATTGTATTTTAATAAAAAGCTGATTGGCCAGTAGCCAGGCAGGAAGTAGAGGCGGGCTATGAGAACAGGAAAATTCTGGGAAGAGGAAAGCTCATTCTGCAGTCGTGACCTACACACAAAGGAAGCAAAATGTGATTGCCTCACCAAGAAAGGTACCAAGTCACGTGGCTAACATAGACTAGAAATATGGGCTAATATAAGTTATAAGAATTAGTCAAGAAGAGCCTGAGATACTGGGCCAATCAGTTTATAATTAAAAATATATAATATATAAATAATTAAATGAAAGACAATGACATGAGTAAGTACTTAGTACATGATAATTTGGTATTGACAACAAAGAAGTTAATGGACAAGTGCTATACTATCAAATGTACCTTGGTGTGTAATTTCACCTGTAAATGCCGAGTAAATGCTTCAGTGCCTGCTGTAGAATAACCCTTTTAGAACACTGTGTATATGTATTAATCTCATTGGTTTAAGAAAGAGTTGACTGGCCAATAGCTAGGAAGGAAGAGGTTAGGTAGAGAGTTAAACAGAGAAAATAAAGCACAGAACCATGTGAGTTGCCAGCCAGATGCAGATGAAGCAGATGAACATGCTGTACTGAGAAAAGGTACTGCCACATGGTAGAGCATAGATAAGAAATATGGGTCAGCCAGGAGGTGGCGGCACATGTCTTTAATTCCAGCACTTGGGAGGCAGAGGCAAGTGGATCTTTGTGAGTTCGAGGCCAGCCTAGTCTATAAGAGCTAGTTCCAGGCGAGCTCGGATTGTTACACAGAGAAATCCTGTCTCAAACAAAACAAAACAAAAATTAATTTAGGATGTAAGAGCTAGTTAGTAACAAGGCAAAGGTATCCACCAAGCATATAATTAACAAGTCTCTCTATGGTTATTTGTGAGCCAGCTGGTAGAACAGAGCTGACCGGCAGGACAGAGAAAGTCGGCCTACAAGTGACTTCCCAAAGAACTCAAAATCTCAATTTTAAATTACATGAACCTTGCCTCTATCTCCTGCTGCTCATCCTAGGCTCGGAACCCTGAGTGAGTATAGGCTTTCACTAAGACAGTCCCTAAACACTTGAAGAGTCCAGGAAAAGAAAGAAAAGAATTTAAGGCAGTAAGTTTTTCCTTCATAACTTAATTTTTCAGGAAAAACCTTGACTAAGATGAGGGCTGGAGAGATGTCCATATAGGTTATGAGCATGAGCTGTTCTTCTGGAAGACCTATTTTGAGTTCTAGCACCCATGTTGGGGGACTTAGTACTGTCTACAACTTCAGAGACTCAAACACCCTCTTCTGGATTCCAAGGGTATCTCTGCCTACACACAAATACCCATACACCAACACACATGCACACAGACACACCACATACATACTTGCAAAAAATTAAAAATGAGTCATTAAAAAATTGTCAGGTATGAACTGTAGAGACAAAAAGTAGGTAAGTTCCAGGCTACCTAGTACTATATATTAAGACTGTCTCAAACAAACAAAACAAAAATCCTTAAAATATTGACTAAAATTGTTCTCATTTTTTTCTCTTAGAAAACCAGGGACTACCTGTGTGGTAATCCCAGCCCTCATGAGGCAGAGACAAGTGAATTTGACAGTCTGGTCTAGAGTGAATTCCAGTGCAGTCAAGGCTGTTTCAGAGAAATCCTGTCTTGAAAAAAGAGAAAGAGAGAGAGAAAGAGACAGAGAGAGAAAGAAAACCAGGGGCTGGAGAGATGGCTCTGTGGTTAAGAGCACAAACTGCTGTTCCAGAGGACCTGGGTTCAATGTCCAGCACTCACATGGCAGCTCACAACTATCTGTAACTCAAGTTCCTGGGGACCCACCTCCCTCACATAGGCATACGTGCAGGCAAAACACCAATGCACACGAAGCAAACTTTTAAAAAAGTCTTTCATTATCTCAGTATTTTCTATGAATGAAGCAATTTCAATGTAAATTTAAAATAAAAATGGCATTACACGGCTTTCCAAGAAAATATACAATAATAATACCTGTAAGGAATTTCACTCTATTTTGTACAGTTTAAGCAGCGTTGTTACACAGAGAAACAGTCTCAAAAAAAAAAAAAAAAAAAAAAAGAAAGAGAAAGAAAGAAGAAAAGATGTGCGATGGTGGCGCACACATTTAATCCCAGTGCTTGGGAAGCAGGGGTAGGTAGATCTGCAAGGCGAGTTCAAGGACAGCCAGAACTATAGCAGAGAAACCCTGTCTTAAAAAACAAAACCAACAAAAAGAAATTGTGTGTGTGTATGTGTGTGTGTATATGTATATAGTTTGGATGATAAATAAATAAATAAATTTATTAATAATTAACAAAAAGAGATCAGGACAGAAGGCCAGACAAGTGCTGCAGGTGGGTTGCCGTGACATACACACGTGATGACAGAGGTGGCAGCTAACTAATACGATCCATCCCCATGCAGTCTTCAAAACCTTCAAGGTAAAATGAGACCCAGCCAGCTGACCTCTCTTCCGCTGGTTGCTCGACTGGGCCTCGTCCTCGCTGACATTCTCAACAGGACCATCGAGTTTTGCTTCCCGGTTCTCTTTGCTTTCACAGTTGCTTCTTTTTTCAATCTTCTCTTCTTTTTCTTTTCTAATTTGTGGTTTCTTATTTCCTTGGCTGATAACACTTTGAGACTGGAAAAAAAAAAAGTGTTCTGAATAGAATCATTTCTATTAACATTTCACCTAAATGTTAAAAAAATGTTAAAAAAAATAAAACAACATCTATTCTAAATATTGCTAAGAAAATAACTCACCAAAAATGAAAACCTGGAAGGGTAGAGCACTTGTCTAGTATGCATGAGGCATTGTTAATTTGACCAACTCACGTGACTGCATTGCCATTAATAGTCTAAGAAATGCAAATTAACTATATTTACTATAATGGCTACTGTTTTAAAAAACTGACCAAATTATTCAGCACCAGTAGGAGTGAAAGTTTGACAGTATCTTTTTCTTTTTTAATATTTTCGTTTGTCTGTTTTTTTGTGTGTTGGTTTTTTTTTTTTGAGACATGGTTTCTTTGTGTATCCCTTGCTGTTCTAGAATTCACTTTGTAGACCAGGCTGGCCCCAAACTCAGAGATCTGCCTGCCTCTGCCCCAGTACTGGTATAATAACATGGCCCACCACTGCCCAGTCCTTGGCAGGTTCTTTTTAAAAAAAAAAAAGAAAACTAAATATGATCTTGCCATTCTTCTCCTACTTATTAACTATGAGTGGAAAAAAGGAAATATCCATTCAAAATTTTATATGGAGAGTTTCATTTATAATAACTCAATGTCCATTACATTACATTACAACCATAAACTGAACTGTGTCACTGACACAACATGGAAAAATCTACTGAGTAGTAATAGTACTGGGTGAATATATGAATGCCAGAGGCTAAGTGAAGCTTCCAACTAAACAAACAATAGTGCCTCCTCCACTATTCTACATACACAGGAAATACAGCAACATTGCAGGCAGGAGCCAAGTGTTTGTTCTCAGTGATAAGTTTACTTGCACAATCTGATAAAAACCAGGTGGTGGTGGTAGAGGTGGTGCACGCCTTTGACCCCAGCACTAAGCAGGCAAGAGGCAGGCAGATCTAGGTGAGTTCAAGGCCAGCCTGGTCCATGCAGGTTCCAGTTCTAGGAGAGCTCTTAAACATAGCCCTAAACCTATGTTGACAACAAACAAACAAAAACCACCCACACCAAAAACAAAACAAAACAAAAAGCAATTGAGTGAGGTAACCCAGACACAGAAAGACAATTATCACATGTACTCACTCATAGGTAGTTTTTAAACATAAAGCGAAGAAAGTCAGCCTACAAACCACAATCCCAGAAAATTTAGAAAACAATGCAGACACTAAGAGAGACTTACATAGATATAATCTACAGGGGAAATAGAAAGTAGAAAAAGACAAGATCTCCTGAGTAAATTGGGAGCATGGGGACTTTGGGGAAGGATTGAAGGAGGAAGGGGAGAGGCAGGGAGGGGAGCAGAGAAAAATGTGGAGCTCAATAAATATCAATAAAAATGTATTTAAAAAAACAAGCCAGGTGGTGGTGGAGCACACTTTAAATACCAGCACTAGGGAGGCAAACACAGGCAGATCTTTGTGAGTTAGAGGCCAGCCTGGTCTACAGAGAGAGCTCCAAACAGACTCCAAAACTACAGAGAAATCCTGTCTTGAAAAAACAAAAAACAAAACAACTAAAAGGATTGTCGGTTTAGGTTGGGCATGGTGATGCGCTCCTTTAAACCCAGCACTGCAACATAGGCAGGCAGACCTCCTTGAGTTTGCGGCCCATCTAGTCAGTCTACAGAGTGAGTTCCAGAACAACAAGGGCTATGTAGAGAAACCCTGTATCAAAAAACAAAAGCAACCCCTTCACACACAAATTATAATAAGCAGCTCAGCAGATAAGAGCACATGTTGCTCTTCCAAACGACCTGAGTCAATTTCCAGCACTCAGTTTCTCACAGCCAGCTGAAATTAGGGATGCAGTCCTTCTGACCTTCACAGGCATCAAGCATGCACATGGTGCCGGTACAGATAAAACACTTGGACGCATTAAATAAATAATACTAGGGGCTGGAGAGATGGCTCAGAGGTTAAGAGCATTGCCTGCTCTTCCAAAGGTCCTGAGTTCAATTCCCATGGTGGCTCACAACCATCTATAATGGGGTCTGGTGCCCTCTTCTGGCCTGTAGGCATACACACAGAGAGAATATTGTATACATAATAAATAAATAAAAAAAATAAAAAAATAAAATAAAATAAATAATACTAACCTTTTTTTTAAGTTAAAATTAAATGTAATCCTTTTTGTTAAAAAATAAGCAAAGAGTGATACAAACACCTTACCCCAACACCTGAGGATATAGCCAGGTAGGGAAACATAAATGAAAGTAATATCTTATAACTGAGTAAAACAAACAAACAAACAAACAAAAGGATAGCTGTTAAGTTTTTAATCATCTTATCAAGGCATATAAACATAAAAATGTAACTGACTTTTTACAACTTATACTTGACCATTATTTAAAAATCAAAAGTAAAATTACTCTCTGGGTAAATGTTAAGCCACTAAATTCATTACTAACACTAAATGTTTTAAGTCAAAATAATTGTACTGCTGAGCTATATCTTTAAATACACTCAATACAACAAATAATGCTGAGATAAGAATTCTTTTTAAAATAGACTTAAATACATACTTACCCCTGTGTTCACTAATTCACCTGGTGTTGGCCAATTTGCCATATCACTGAAATCACTAGCCTAAAATGTAATAAAATAATTGTTACAACCAAAAGTGATTTTTAGAATTTTTAGATAGAAAAAATATTTCTAAATGTAATCTTTGTTGCCAATCATGATGGGACGTGCCAGAAATCTTGAACACTTAGAAGTAGGAGAAATAAGAATTCAGGGTCAACCATGGACACAAGACTAACCTGAGCTCAATGAGACCCCCTCTCCCCCGCAACTAGCACCCTGGAAACAGATGTAGGCAGATCTATGTGAGCTCTAGGCCAGCCCGGTCTACATAGTGAAACCCTGTCTCAAAGAGGGGAAAAAAGCAACAGCAAAATCAAATAAAGTAAGAGTAATTTTCAAAATCACCTCTATTTAACATATGTAGATTTGGCAAGCTAATTCAAATATTTCTTAAATATTTTGAAGTAAAAATTCAATGATATTAGGATCAAACTTAAATCAGAATTGTTTTAAAATGATTTTCAATCAATACACTTAAAAAGTATGTCCTATCTATAAAAGCATACCTTGTTGGATTTCTTTGTCTTGAGTTTTCCCGCTTTTATAATTTTGGGGGAACTGAGCTCTAAAGAAAACATATAAAATTATTTTTCAACCATTTCATTTATTAAGTTTAGCAAAACAAGTATTATTTCAATTTTGGCAAGTTAACAGTCATCACTCACAATAGAAGTCAAGTTTCTGGTACTCAATTCCTTGAAAGACACCAACTATAATATGCAAATTCTAATGTTATCTGCATTTAAGAAGTAGAAAATCCTAGCAGACAAGCGGTGGCTCAAACACTTAATCCCAGCATTTGGGAGGCAGAGGCAAGCAGATCTTACATCCAGGGCTATACTGAAAAACCCTGTTTTGAAAAACAAAGGAAAATACTAAACTGACAGACAAATCCTTTTATTAAAAAAATATACTACATTGGGTGAGCGTGACTAGCACACACCTTTAATCCCAGAACTCACAAGACAGAAGCAGGCAGATCTCTGAGTTCAAGAATAGCCTGGTCTACATAGTGAGTTCTAAGACAGCTAGGGCTGCACAGAGAAACCCTGTCTCAAAAAGCAAAAAACAAACCAAAGAAGAAAATACACCATAATAAAACTAAGATTGTAACTTCTATGAAAAATTCTACTCTACCTACTCCCTTTTAATTTATTTTTGGCATGTCGTGAAAGGGAAGATAAGAGTTCTACTTCCAAGTTACAACCCTAACCCTCAACTGATTATGTAATAGGATAAATTATTCTACATAATAGAACATTTATTTTATACATAATATATAATATAAAATATTATAGATTATATAATGCTTATATAAGAAAATAGAAAATGGTTTAAGACTTCAAACTCCTTCTAGGAAACAAACAGGTTTGGCAACCTTAATAGATCTAGTATCACTCTTAGGGATGCTGTTGCTGTAAAACACCATTACCAGAGGCTACAAAAATGACTCAGGTTAAGAGTACATGTTGCTTTTAAAGAAGACTCAGGTTCAGCTCCTAGTACACGTGATGACATAAATACAGTTCCAGGGAAACCAACAACCTCTTCTGACCTCTGTGGACACAAGGCACACATATATACTTGTAGGCAAAACACTCATACATATAAACTAAATAAATTTTTAAAAAACACTTCTAAAGCTGGGTGGTGGTGGTGCACACCTCTAATCCCAATACTAGAGAGGAAAGCAGAGACAGAATCACTTCAAGTTAAGGTTAAGAGCACTGGCTGCTCTTAAAGAGGTCCTGAGTTCAATTCCCAGCATTCACATGGTGGCTCACAACTATCTATAATGAGATCCGGTGGCATCTTCTGGACTGCAGGCAGAGCATTATATACATAATAAATCTAAAAAGGAAGGAAGGAAGGAAGGAAAAAGATAAAACACCTAACCCTAACCAAGCAGGACAGTCAGATCCAGCCACAAAAAGGAAAGTAACAGGTTTCTGTAGAACTTTGTGGGCTGGGGCTGCAGTTCAATGGCAGGTAGAGAGCTTACTCAACACGCACAAGGTCAGTGCCCCAAACAAGCAAAACAGACCATTGCATCATCTCTCTTTATCTTGAAAAAAAAAAACCCACAATGGCTGATCATAAAAACTGTCTTTAAATTAAGGCTTTTAAAGCAACAGCTGTTTTTATATTCACTCACTCACTTATTATCTGTCTATCTACTTATCTATCATCTATCTACCTACCTATCATCTATCTGTCTATTTAGGGAGTCTTCTTATGAAGCAGGGTCTGGATTACAGCCCTGGCTATCATGAACTGGTTATGCAGACCAGTTAACCTCAAACTTGAAGTGATTCTGTCTCTGCTTTCCTCCCTAGTATTGGGACTAGAGGTGTGAGTCACCACAACTGTCATACCAGCCTGGGACTGAGAGTCTACCAATAGTATGAGCTACAATAAGACTCTCCTCATTCATAGGCACAGGGCTTTAAACCCAGCACTCAGGAGGCAGAGAGGCAGGCACATTTGAAAAGGCTAACTTGATCTACACTGAGAGTTTCAGCATACCCAGGACTAGAGACCCAGTTACAAATAAATTAATGAATATATATATATATATATATATATATATATATATACACACACCTTTTAAAAGATTATTTCTCAAAGAAAGGTAACACAGCATGGTGAAATGTGCAAATGTGCCTGTAATATTCTACAAGTATATGGAATAGATATGTGCATGTATATGTGCATACATACATGTACATATAGATAAAACATAACAAAGAACATGCAGTGCTAGCACACATAACCTCAACAGTAACCAGTGTCTCTTTACGTAGACTTAAGACCTGCTTAAAAATAAGGAAATTATGCCTGGTACAGAAACTTAGCCAACAACCCAAGGTTGGAAAGTCACCGATCTTGGAGAACCTACAACCAGCACTTTACTAAACCAGCATAATTCCTAACCACATTCTAAATATGTCCTTATATCCAACTGTAGTTCTCCCTACTCATCAAGAAAACTTGAAACTTCTCTTTAAGAAAACCACAATCAATCAATCAAAATGCAGAGTTGTGGAGCCTAGTCCCACTGGATAGAACTACAATACAACTCACTCACCTATGACTCAGGGAACATTCCAGAAGGAGGGCAGAAGACAGAAAGAACTAGAGATCAGGGAGTAGGTATGCTGTAGGAATGCCAGAAGCTTCACCCATAAATTCTTACCAATATAAAAACCTAAACACTACCTGAATGAAGACAACACCTTTGATAGACATGCCACAGTAGACAGGGGAATTACCATAAAGCCTGAGTCCTACACAGAAAGTCACAAGTTACAAAGGAACGCTGCAAGAGGGAGAAACAGAGAAAAACACAATTGGTTATTAAACAATTGGTCAGCCCTGAATACACACACACACACACACACACACACACACATACACACGTATGTATGTATATGTCATTACAAACAGAGCAGGTTGTTTATATATAGGAATCTGAATATATATAGGAATAAAAATGAAAGGGGTCATAAATTTGAAAAAGAGTAAGAAGAGGTATATAGGAAGATTTGGAGGAAGGAAAGTAAAGGAAGAAATGATATAACATTATAATTTAAAAAAATATTTTCCAAAAAAACAGTCCATGCAATTAAAAAAAATACAGGCGTGTCGGACAAAACAAAAGGCAGTGTGGGTGATCAAGAAGAAAGAAACCTAAATCTACAGCAAAAATATTATTTGGGGGCTGGAAAGGTGGCTATTGTAGAAGGCTCAGGTCCCAGCACTCACATGGTAGTTCACACTGTTTGGAATTCCAGTTACAGGGGATTCAATGCCATCTTCTGACCTTGGAAGACACTATGCACAAAGATGGCACAAGTCATACATTCAGAGAAAAACCCAACACAAAATTAAAATAAACAAATCTTTAAAGAAATATATCCAACAACTCAGGCTGGCGGTGCAAGCCTATATTTCTAATACTGGGAAGGTTGGGGGGAAAAAAAAACCAAGGCCAGTCTGAGCTATACAGCAAGACTCATCTGAAAAAAAAAAAAATAGAAAATTCCCAAACTAAAAAACAATAAAGACTTAATTCTCTCCTATGCTAACAAAGAAAATATATAGTCAGTGGAAAGCAATGTATCAAACAGGCAATAACTGTGGTATAACATTCATTTCTACATTTACCCTAAGGTATAAACAAATACAAAAATATAAAATATTGCTTTGTCCAGATAAGGGAAGAAAACAAGCAAGGCACAATAGTCAGCCCTAAATTAGCTATGTGAGTTCTATCTAAGGATTACTCCAGAATAATAATGTGCATCTAGATTATAAAAGATTAGCTAAATTGGACGGCGGTGGTGCTCGCCTTTAGTCCCAGCACTTGGGGAAGCAGAGGCAGGCAAATCTCTGTGAGTTCGAGGCCAGCCTGGTCTACAAAGCGAGTTCTAGGACAGACAGAGAGATGCACAGAGAAATACTGTCTCGAAAAACCAAAATAAATAAATAAATATCGATTAAAAGATTTTATAAAATAAAATAAAAGATTAGTCAGACAGCTGGGCATCACTATGGGGATGAGGTGGCATAGACCTTGAATCACAATACTTAGGAAATAGAGGCAGGAAGATCAGAAATTCAAGGTCAGTTTGAAGAACACAAAGCCCAGTCTCAAAAAAAAAGATCAAATTAAATTTAAATATCAGCCAGTACTTTAAATGAAAACTGATGGATGGATGAAATTTTATGTTCCAAGCGCACCTATAGAATACATTTTTTTTTCCCTCTTTTTGTTTTTTGAGACAGGGTTTTTCTGTAGCTTTGGAGCTGTCCTGAAACTAGCTCTTACAGACCAGGCTGGCCTTGAACTCATAAACATCTGCCTGATTCAGCTTCCCAAGTGCTGGGATTAAAGGCATGTGTCACCATCACCAGCTAGAATACACTTTTTGAAAGTAATTGCTAGGTTTTTTTTTTAAAAAAAAATCAGTAATCTGATTAATCAGTAACATGAATTTTTCTAAAACTTTAAAAACATCAAAAGATCAAGAGTTATGGGTCTTCTCTGTGGTGTGTGATGAAATGCACAGGCTCTGCTATGTGAGTGCATCAAGCAGTCTACCAACTGAGCCCCAATAATTTTACTTTTATAAGGATATAAAAAACTATGTGTAAATAAATAATATATATATATGAAATTTGCTTAAGATGAATTTCACGAAGGCACTACAGACAGCAAACTTACTTGCAGTTCCCTACTCCCCCCCCCAAAAAAGAAAAGAGGGTTGATAAATAGTAACAAAGTCAAGCATGTTAGTACAAGCCTAGGGAGGCAAAGGCATGTCCATCTGAGGTCAGCCTAGTCTACATAGAAAATTCCATGCAAGCCAGGGCTATATAGGGAGATCCTTTTTCAAAACATATGGTCAAAGAATAAATATAAAAAAAATTGACAAAAATCAGTATTTTTATATTTTGAGTTTTTGTGATATTACACTACAAGACTGAATTTTACTATACAAATACAGCTACAAGCAAGTGATTAACAAGTCATAGACTGTTACTTAATGAAGGGGCTGTTAAATTACACAAGTTTAGTATAGTTCGAGATCTTAGATCATAAGTCTCCATACTGAATTCAAGACATTCTAAGGTGGGCCTGGCTTTGGCTGAATTGTTTTATCTGGTTTTCCAGAAGCACCAGAGACATCCTAAAAGTGGAGGAGTGTCTCGAAACATGGGACCATCAAGAATCTGGCTTACTTTTGACCAGAGAAGGTTAGGCTGCCCACATGGCTAGCTAAATAGGTAAAGGAGCTTGCTGCCAAACCTAACCTGAGCTTGATCCCTAAAACACACATGATCTAAGGAGAAAAACAACTCCAAAGCTCTTCTCTGAGCTTCACATAAACCATTGTGGCATGCACATACACACATGTACACACACACACACTAAATAAATTTAATAAGTTCATGATCATATCCTAAAGACTCCAAATGCTTCCTATAATGTATCTAACTCTGATAATAGTTTATGGCAAAAGTTTGTGGATGTTAATTTCTTCACTACATAAGACTGACAGTTTGTCTGGGATTGATACGCTTTTCTCTTTCAAGAGTATCCTATTTGGGGGCAGTGGTGGCACGTTCTTTAATCCCAGCACTCGGGAGGCAGAGGTAGGTGGATCACTATGAGTTCGAAGTCAGCCTGGTCTACAGAGCAAGTTCCAGGATAGGCTCCAAAGCTACACAAGGAAACCCTATTTCGAAAAACAAAAAACAAAGAGTATTCTATCGATAGACTTAATATAGCTTAATCTACATCCTTTAAATCCTAAATGAACTCTGGATATATTTGATTTTTTTATCATTGCCATTATTCTCTTTCTGATATAGGGCCTTACCTTTTTTCACTTTAATTATGTGTTTATCCGTGTGTATGTGCAAGTGTAGGTGCCCAAGGAGTAAGAAGAGGGTGTTGAGATTCTCTAGAACAGGAGGTATCTGCGGCTACACAATGTGGGTTCTGGGAACCAAACTCAGATCCTCTGAAAAAAGCATTATATGCTCTTAACCTCTAAGCCACCTATCTCTCCAGCTCTGCCTCATTATACTTCTCTGACTGGTCGCAAACTCCTAGGTGAAGCTGATCCTGTAGTCTCAGCCTCTGAGTAGCTGGAGCGATAGGTATGTGCAACTACACATCTCATTCTATTTTTTTTTAAATATTTCTTACTTTTATTTTTGTGTCACCCATGTGCAGACACACTCAGGGATTAGAAGGCAACAGATGCTCTATAACTGGGGTGAGCGCTCTTGACGTAGGTACTAGAAGCCAAAGAATGCTTTGAAAGAACAGTAAGCACTGAGCAATCTGCCCCAAGCCCTATATCATTCTAGTCATTTTTCTTAGGAAAATGAGAAGCCACAGCACTAAGCTTGTATGTAGAAATAACTCTACTGGCAGTGGTGGCACACGCCTTTAATCCCAGCACTCGGGAGGCAGAGGCAGGCAGATCTCTGTGAGTTTGAGGCCAGCCTGGTCTACAAAGTGAGTTCCAGGACAGGCACCAAAGTTAGAGAAACCCTATCTGGAAAAAAAATTCAAGAATTACCTGGGCTGGAGAGATGGCTCAGTGATTAAGAGCACTGGCTGCTCTTCCAGAGGTCCTGAATTCAATTCCCAGCAACCACATGGTGGCTCACAACCATCTGTAATAAGATCTAGCGCCCACTTCTGGTGTGCGGGCACAGACGGGCACACATGGAGGCAGAATATTGTATACTTAATAAATAAATTAATTAATTAAGAAAAAAAGAAATCACTCTAGTGTTAAGAACTGGCTTCGACAGAAACTCAGAGGAGTGTGGAGTCTGAGGATTCGTGGACACAGGATCTCGCCTTTCGGTCTGAAGTTTTGGTATAAGTAAAAGGTCTCTCCAGTGGCTGACTACTCTGCTTTTCTGATCTTAAGCTTTAACCCCTATATTTGTCTCTGGGTTTTTATTATTTGTGCCACACATAGGTTATTTCTCTATTGCCCTGTATCCCTTTACCAGCCTTAAAATAAAAGTAACCTAGAAGTGGGGGGAAAAAAACTGGCTCCTATAGACCTGGTGGCACACACCTTTAATCCTAGCACTCAGCAGATAGAGTTTGAAGTCAGCCTGGTCTACAAAGTGAATTCCAGGAAAGCCAGGGCTGTGACAGAGATACCCTGTATTGAAAAACAATCAATCAATCAAACAAACAAACAAACAAATTAGCTCCTTAATGACCATCATCCCAGCTACTGGGAAGACAGATGAGGTTTGAATAACTCAGAAACAAAACCAAAAAAAACAAATAGAAGATATGAACCCACCCATGTCATTAATTTACAAGACCAAAAATCTTGCCAAAAGCCAACTATCCATTTAGTAACAACTAAACTATTACCCATTGCTTTCAGCAGTACAATGACAATCTCTTATTTAGGTTACCTATTACTGAAGGAACAGCTTAGAGTCAGGGTTGCTACCCTGACATAGATCTGAAAAAAAAGCATTGCTAATATTGCAGAATGACCAAGAATTAAGAGTTGTCAATTAAAAAAAATTGATACAACTGAAACTCCTTTTGATTTTGTCTTTGGTTTTTGAGACCAGGTCTCCATACATACATGGCTGTCCTGTCTGTAACTCACTGGTTAGATCAGGCTCGCCTTGAACTCAGGTATCAGCTTGTCACTCCCTCAAGAGTACTGGGCTTGGGGGCTGGAGAGATGGCTCAGTGGTTAAGGTTCAATTCCCAGTACCCATGTGGCAGCTCACAACTGTCTATAATTTCAGTTCCAGGGGACCAGACACCCATGGCAAAACATAAATGCACATAAAATGAATAAATTTTTTTTTAGAAGAGTGCTGGACTTAATAGAGTGAGCCACCAGGTCACTCTTTTGATTTTCTGAGATCCTGGTCGTGAGGGTAATTCAGGCTGGCCTCAAACTCATACTCTTTCTGCTGGAATTACAGGTATGGGCCATATTCCCAATTAAGGGCTACTCTATTCTTAATGTAAGAAAGAAGAAATATTCAAGGCACAACTGTGAAATATTTTCCCAATTATATTTGCAAATTAAAATTTCTGAGTGGGTGCAACAACAAAAAAAGCACATACATACAGCTTGATGATAAAGTACAGGGCCCTGGGCTCCTTCCCAAAATAGGAGGGGAAAAATAGTTGATATGGGAGTCCTCTCTGTGTGCTGTGATAACGTTAATAAATAAACTGCTTTGGACCTATAGCAAGGCAGAACTTAGGTAGGCAGGGAAATCTAGACTGCTGGAAGAATAAAGGTCAGAGACAGAGAGAAGACATGGAGCTGCCATCGGACACAGAAGCTGGAACTTCACCAGGTAAGCCACAGCCACGTGGAGATATACAGATTAATAGTAATGGGTTAAATTAATATATATGAGTTAACCAATAAGAAGTTAGAGCTAATGGGCCAAGCAGTGATTTAAATATAGTTTCTTTGTGATTATTTTGTGGCTAAGCGGCGAACAAACTGGCGGCCTCCTTCCAACAGAATGCCAAGTCTCACTTTAAAATAAACTGTGTTTATTTATTTATTTATTTATTTATTTATTTATTTATTTATTTTTTCGAGACAAGGTTTCCCTATAGTTATCAAGCCTGTCCTGGAACACCAAGCTGGCCTCAAACGAACTCACAGAGATCTACCTGTCTCTGCTGGGATTAAAGGCGTGCGCCACCACTGCCCCGCTAAACTGTGTTTATAAAAACTGGTTTCAGCTGGGTGGTGGTGGCTCAGAGGCAGGCGGCTCTCTGAGAGTTCAAGGCCAGCCTGATTTACAAAGCCAGGGCAGTTTCAGGGAGAAACCCTGTCTAAATAAACAAACAAAACAACAACAAAGACACAAAAGGTAAAACAAACAAAAAACTGGCTTCATATTTGTCAGTTCAATAAAAAGTCTAGCCGTGGAGAGGTAACTGTCAATAAAGCAATCAACAAGGGCTTTCTTTTCTTACTAAATGTTAGAGAGAATTGGCATAGTATGTTTTCTTCACTTAGCAATGGTAGTAAACAGCTCTTTTCAGCTAGGCAGGAATTATGCCAATACTAACGGGATGCAAAATTTAGTGCTTTTTTTTTTCTTAAAGTGTCAAAATTTAGTAAAAATTAATGAGAGCCAAATGCCTATAAGCGGAAGGAGGACCAAGGGCTCCAGACCAGCCTGGGCTACACACACAGGTCGTGTTTCAAAAGCAAACAAAATAACAAACAAAATTAATGAGAATTTCCGTGCAAAAGTTAAGAAACTAAGTTGATTCAACATTTATCTCCCCCTACAGGAGAGATTCAACTATGACATTTGTACAGGATCCCTTCACCGCGTTTGACCCCCACAATCCCGTACACGTACTCAAACTTCGGCTGTTCCACTGACTCTCCACAGAACAGAGAAAACTTGCCAACAAAACAGCCTCAATTTTCTGTAGAAAAAGCCCAGTTATTTTAGTACAGTTTAATTTTTAAAAACAAATGGGGAGTTTCAATCAGACATCCCCCCCCCCTTTTTACTTTAGGTCTTGAAAGACTTTAGTAAATTGCTCAGTCTGGCTTCGAACGCCTAATCTTTCACATCTATGGGGTAACAGGCGTGCGCCACCAAGTACAGGCCAGCCTTAATCTTATTTTCCAAACTGCAGCTGCTGCAACCCAAATAAAGCCCCAAGGGCCATATTGCATTGGTCAGCATACGAACGCGATGGCACAACCCAATCACTACCGCGCAGGCTACCAGGAGAGCAGCCGTGCAGACTCCGAATCAACTGCCCTATGGCAGGCATTCTGAAACTCGACCGAAAATCGCCTTCGTGCCAGCTGCGCTCAGAGCCACCTCTACCTAGCAGCCAGTTCCTTCCCGAGCGAGCCCCAACTCACACACAGATCCGCTTATTCTGACTCGCTTTACACTCTGGCAAGTTCCCGGAAACTTTCCCACAGTCTTCACCGCGTCCAGGTCGCCGACACGTGAAGGCACAAGCCGAGCCGGGCCGCGCTGCCCCGTCACCCACGCCGTGCCCCGAGCCGTCAAGGAGAACCTGAGGTCCCACCTCTTCCTGTCGCTCCCGCTCCCAGATGTCCATTTATGTAAATCGGCACGTTGAATGACACCTAGGAACCCAACACCTCCCGCGGACCGCACTCACCGGCCTCCGGGGCGTCCTGAGCAGGCGGCGGCGCGCCGGTGCCCACGGGGGACAGGTGCTGCGGCAGCTTCTTGGTCCACGGGTTCCCCTTTGGCGGCGGCGGCGGCAGCTTGTCCTCGGAGCCGGCGGCCGCAGAGTCCTCTCGGGCGTCCTCGGGAGGGTCCCGCGGAGCTGGCCCCCGAGGCCACCGCCGCGCAGCCGCCCCCCCAAGACGCCCCGGAGGCCGGTGAGTGCGG